AATTTGACAAGCTTATATTTATTAGGAAGTGGGTGTGGTTTTTTCTAATTATTCAAACATTTAAAGAGATGTTGATTCGCATACATCGGAATTTGTGAGAATATTGTTATCAGATGTAAATTGGATAGATGAGAAACATGAACACAAGGATATTAAATTGAATAACTAATGTAAGCAATTGAAAAGAAAGGCATTTCCTTTATACAAGGATAAAAAACATGGGAATGTGAATTTAGACAGATATTAAGATGAGATAATTAATGAATCATGGAAAGCATTCCCATCTTATACAAAATTTATTTTAATTTTCGCGACTTTCGCGACACTCCATTTAATTTTAAAAATTTTAAATAAAAAAGTTGCCGTCGTACGAATTTTGTCAATTTATTCTATTTGTCGATAAAAATTATGAAATTTCTCTAGAAAGCACTGATTCTGATGACCAAATTAAAAGGAAATTTAGCTATAATATAATTAATATCGGCTCGCAGCAAATTGCCTATCATGTTAACTAAAATATTACTTCTTGGACTTGTTGTTACAGTACTGCGACAACCGCGCAAATGTCATCGGGACTATTGATTAATAAATGTAATGACAAGACCTATGTATAAAGCTTAGTCTTTGGAATTGCGCTGTGTTGTGATTGAAAAGGAATGATCAAAGACACATCCGAGCATGGAATATTAATACTTTAATAGTGTGGTATGAATGACGCCAAAAACACTGTGGAGGTTATTTCGACAACTTACATGTGCCTGATGTAGAAAGTGTTTCCGGAAGTGGGACATGCACATTTGCCTGATGAATAGTTTACTTAGCCTTGCAGTGGATCTCATCAGCAACATTATCTTGACTGTAGAGTGGTCAATATATCATAATTGAGAATAGATTCATGACCATTGTCCATCTTAATAGCTTGATCTGGCCCTTTTGTTGATTGCTTTCATATCAGGCGAATTTATGCCAACAGGAAACCATTACTCAAGAAAGCATTCAAATTACTAATTTTGTTATTTTATTATGCTGACATTCACATTTCTTTATCTGACCAAAAGAGTGATATGAATTTAATGTGATAATGAATGACTTATGATTACGTCAATTTTAATTTCATGAAGGTTCAAAGAATATGGCATAAATTATTCCACACCGTTAAACAGAATTCTTGCAAGGAAGATCACGCTCTCGTAATCATTTTTTGCTTTCAACAACGATCGTCGGTTCGGTGCTCACTTGGATAATGTTCTCTATTTGTGAATGGCTAAGAATGAATTTCTTCCATGTAATGACTGACATGGCACTCCAAAGCTTACAGATCAGCAACTTTTTTCTCTTCAACAAAACTACGGCTCAATTATTGTCATTGAATAAAATTAAATTGAAATTTTATTGAACTTATCATCTAAATTTGCTCTAAATTATTGGATTGGAGCTATATGTGGCAGTCTGAATGAGACATTGAAAATTAGTGGAGCTCAAATACGAAGCTAATTCCAACGAGTAATATTTCAGTATTTTAATAAATTTGACAAAATTTGAAAATCGATGTTCTTAGAACTTTCAATATCTCTTACTGCCTACATAATTTGCTGATGATCATTTTCCGACACTTCTGGAATGGTCGATGTAACAATGCATGTACTATTTTATTTAAGGTATTTTTAATGGGTGAAATCAACTATTTTATTGAATATATTCAGATGTGAAAATCTAGGTAAGCATGAAATCCTGACCTTGAATTTTGTGCAAATTTTAAAATCATGAAAGACTGATTCAGGTAAGCCTTAAGGGCTTACCTTAAAAGCCCTTTTTATACTACGAGCCTTCATTTTTTGTATCGTTTAAGTAAGCTTGAATTGAATGACTTCACAAGAAATTTCTTGATGACTTTCAGCGTCGTACAATTTGATGATGAACTGATGAGCTAACTGAAATATCGAAATTTTGTTTTTACGCTTTGATCATTCGTATTTTTATATTTCTTACAACTATTAAAATCAAATGGAAAACTTTTGTAAGTAATACTTTGACTGGAAGCAGCGTACAAGTTAGAGAAATTTGAAATTAAAAAAATAAACTATTTCGCCAAGCGATGTGAGAATAGCACAACTCTAGAAGAGAAAACTCTAATACTACTTCTTGTTGAATAAAGATGAAGAGAAACTTTTCGTGCTATTTCTGAAAACCCTCAAGACATAATACTTCTAAACAAAATTTTGTCTTGAAGAACAAAAAGACTTACAGTTTTGTCAATGAATCCGAAAAGTATCGCATATTTGTAAAGGTTAAGTGGCAATGTTAATTCAAGATCTCCTTTCGTTAATGGACAGTTGTGAGCCATTTTACAGCCATCGATATTAAATCTGACAGAATTTTATGGAAGACGATTAGAGGTAAATATAATAATAATTTCTTTAAGTAAAATAATTGTAGTTAATTTAGAAAATATTTCGCTTTTAAACCAAAAAAAAAAAAAATAAGTTGGAATTATGCAATAGTGAATTTATTGAAATTACAATAAAAACCGGAATAGCTCCGGAATGATATTTTTCCACATCCATTTTCCATCTTTTTCCACATAAGCATAAACTTCTACATTCACCTTATCCTTTGCAATCTGCAGAACAAACTTTTACCAATCATTAAATTTTTTGAAATATATATGCTGAAATTTGGTCATTATGGATACCACAAAGGATGTCGGATTAAAGCTTATTATAACAATCAATGAATTGCGTCCTGCATTATCTAATTTATAAAAATTTTTGCTCGTAATAACTTTGAATTACTCTGAAAAAAGCTTTACAATATTTCCATTATTGTAAGACTTCAGTTTGATAGATGCCAGATCTTCCAATCTAATCGGATACATTGTCAAACCATCCCGATCGAACAGCTCTATGGATGAGACGGTAATGATATTTGCTGGAAATATCATCAAGGACTTATTTGAAATCTTGGAAAAAATTTCAAAAGTTAAAGAGATTCCCACTGATAACATCTCTTCCTGCATTCGACAATTGAAGTAATTTCTTTATTTCCTTTGTTTTCGTTTTGTATTTTTATGCAGGAATTATTACTTTTATTCAATCTAATTTTGCGTATGAAAAGAAAAAGAATGTAAGTAAAGAGTAATCCCGGTGAGTTTTCCAAATAGAAATGAAAGATGAAGATAATAAATCCATATAGGCTACTTTTTCTCCTTGGACAGCTCTATGTTTCATATATCTTTTTACTCCCCTGTATCTAAATGTATAGACATACCGGGATTACAGCTGAAAAAGTTCATTTTGGTGTCGGTATCATTCGGGAATACAACAGCTCCAGCATACTGCACCATTAAAATAATTATCGTTAAGCTGACAAGCATAATTGACCTATCTAAATAATTATTTAAAAGAAAGGTTCAAAATCTAATCAGTGAAATATAAATGACACGTTAGATGATGATATAAATGACACGTTAGATACACGTTAGATGATTAATTAAACATTGATATCCGATTAATTCCCACTCTTACTACAAGACGTCTAATTTTCTAGCCATCGCAGAACTGAAACGATATCTTTGATATAATTAATGTACAAGAAAGATCCGTCATTTCACAAGACAGTAAGCAATAAACTTTTGAAAGCTTGAATGGTTCTAACAATGCGACACAAACTGAGTAGATAAGAAAAAAATCAATCTTATCCATTTTCGGTCCTTCTATTTACAGAATGATTACACTGATATGATTTGTAAGCATTTGTAAACAGTAATGAAAAAAAACTGATTATGAGAAAAGTGAAATTATAAACGTTGATAAAATGATAACCAATAATAAAGTTTCTGAGAATAAATTTGAGATTACAGAAAGCAATGGGTTAAAATGTGCGGCTTTTTTTTTGTCGTCATTACTGATAAGTGTTAATAACTAGTAGTGACAAAAAGTAGTGGGAGAAAGAGCTGTAGAAAGTGAATGAATTTTAGTAGAAATGCAAGAGGAGTTAGTTGGATGGGAAGAAACCAACGGTTGATATGATAATGCTTGCCAATCGAACTGATATTTTTTCAACTCCTTTTGTTCTCAATCTTCCCAAAGTCAAAATGAGTTGTAGAGCATTGCAATCAGCAAATTTTCACATTCTTCAGGACAATAAGCAAACATCAATTTTGGAAAAAGTTTGCATACATTAAATAGCATTCATAGCATTAGCTCTTGGCTGTTTACAGTACAGATTATGGCTCATTCCAATCCGCACTTAATTACTTGCACAGATAAGAATTGCAGTGCTGTTTTTTTTTCTTTTTTTTTTTGCACGAAAATCAAACTAAAGTCATGATTGTTGAGGAATCGATAGACATCATCAAACAGTAAATCTCCTCCAAGCAGAAATTAAGGTCCAGGGTTTCTATTCCGAATTTCAATCTGCTAATTGTTTCACATCAAGATGAACAACGAAAAACAGTTAAATTGTTGAAATGATTCAAGTCATCCAACAACTTCAATATTACCATGATTTTGTAATCATTGACGCAGCCGCTACCCTGTTTGCAATCGCAGATATCTAAATTTTGTCCAAATTTTCAAAAGCTCAGAATTCTACCAAATGAACTATTGAACTTATCATGCTTTTTCGATATTAACTCGAAATCCTTCCACGTTACAATTTAATAAATTCATCACAGTTTAGCGTGCAAAACAAAAATCAGTTTGAAAAAAACGATTTGCAATTTTTTTTAAATGTGCTTATTCCTCCAAAACTTGAAAAATTTTAAACTGATTCAAGATTAGAGTTACTAAAACTGAAATGTAAATAAAAGAACCAGAGGAAGTATCAGGTTATCTGTGGTTCAATGTAGTTTACTCTCTCGATATCCACGATGTTTTCTTAATTACTACATGCTATTATTATCGAGATAATTTATTACTTATGACTACTGAAACAAACACAAAAAAGATTCTACATTTATCGGCCTCACACAACAAAATTTGGTAGTTGATGACAGTAAAAATATAAGTTGACATTTCTGCCGCATTAACAACAACAAGTAATTATACAATATATACCCGCATTACAATAAGACATAATTATCAGATTGTGTGACCAGAAAATATTTTCTAGTTAACTTTTTGTTGAAAAAATTAAAAAGAGCAACAGGATGCTCAAATTATTTAATCCTATACTTTAAAAAGACCTGTTCCCTGACAAGAACTGAACTATTTGCGCTTGCGAAAGAATGAATTGGCAACGGGAGTGAGACTGAAATCCATTCGCCCTAATAAAAACATCAAATGAAAAAAACTCGGTGAATTAACCCAAAAAGTAGAAAACTACTGTGATGGCAACATAAATGAAAAAAATAGGAAGCTAATTATAGTGAATCAAATCCTTTTTAGAAAGCGAATTTCTTATTCTATGCTTGAGCATATGTTTATTTTTCAAGTCAAGAATGTGAATTGCGTCAAGAAGTCAAGAATTGCGGTATCCTGAAAATTTTGATCCTCGCACATAAAGTGGTAATCAGTGCCACGCCTGCTTGAGACTACTGTTTTTGCCTAATCTTTTGCAAACCAAACTTCCAATTACCAAACTTACTAGGACGATACTGATAAGCAAATGATCAAAATCATCTTTTAATATGTCAAAAGTTCCAGATGGAGTCAGCTGAGTGAAGAAAAGATCAGTACCATAAGCCAGCATCAAGCTTGTCGATTCCAAGCCAGAAGGTCTGAAAATTCATATAAATTTTTTACAAATGCGAATTTGGTCATTTTTCTGCACAGTGCTGCATTTCCAAAAATTTGGACAAAGCCATCTTAATGTAGCTGTTACTTAGATCAGGCCATTCTCGGAGAAATCTGAAGCTACGGAATCATGGGAAAAGAATACGTGATTCCAAACACCACATTAAAAAATACCATTTTCATTTTATTTCCGCAGGAAATACCAACAACTATTTATTCGAAATAAAACAAATAAAATAATGAAAGCATGATCAGTGGAAAATTATATAAGCTTTTGACACTGAAACAGTCCTTCACTATGCATAAATTTTGTGCGTTAATTGGAGAGTAATGCTAACATTTATGAGAAATAACTTACGAAGTTTTAAAGTCACGAACACTATGTATACTTTGATTATAATTGATGAAATCTTCAGAAGCAATAGGTAATTCCGGTCGATATGGAAGAAGCATTTCTTCGGCTAGTTCTTGCGTCATTTCTATTGGGCGACGAGCATCCAGTAACCGTTTAGAAATAACATATATACCACCAAATGGCATCGCTACCAATAAAGATCTTGTTGACAATCCTAGCTCTAAATTATAAGGATTCATTGATTTATATAACCGTATGATATAAAATTTGACTTCAACTCTTAAAAAATTTATTTGAAAAAACAAGTCCTGACATAAACTGAAAAGATTTACAAGTAAAACCACTAACCAGTTTCTGTAACGCCTAATGCCACTACTCCCTGAGGAAATATATACGCTTGAGAAAGGACTGTAACTCTTGCTGCTAGTGTATGCACAAGTGAATTGTAATGAAGAGGATCAGTTTGTTCAAGACCTTCATACAATTCTACCACAGCTACTTCCACACGACGACCTTTCTCGTTCCAATATGAATAAGCTAGCCAGTTTTCACAATGGATCAAATGAACTGGACCAGTTATCTGTAAATTTTATTTTATTCTTCTTACAGTTCCACGTCTTTGTTTGATGACTTCATTGTGGAATGTGACTACTGAAAAGTTAAAAAATTTTTCTAGTACATTAGAATATAAACTACGTCATACGTGATGAGGACCTCAAAATGTATCACTGTTGCGAAATTCTAGTCGTTTGCAGTGGAAGTATAACTACTATGTATTTCGTAAAGATAATTGTAGAAATCTATTTTGAAGAATGAAAATGCATTTACTTTATTTTGTTTACCACTGTATACGATGTAACCTGAGACTGCATCAACAAGATAAATTTGCAAAACCGAATAAATAGAATCAAGCACTGCAATCGCAACTAGGTTTGGATTTGCATATTTATATAATACTGAGCGGTTGCCCAATACTCTTCCAGCACTGTGAACTTTTTCTGAAAATGTAGAAGTTAATGAAATAAAAAATTAGTATGGAAGTCACAAGACTTTAATACAGATGCCAAAAATGAAGTAACTCACGATAGGATGGTTTCGGAACAACGGCTACAATCTTTTGTTCATTTCTTAGAGACAGCTTCACTTTCCAAGTTGACGAAAGTTGTTTACGAGTGACATTCAAGATAAAACCTTCTAAATTACCGGAAGCATCAAAGTTGAAGAGATGCAATGGAACCTGTTGTTCCAGTGCATCTATATTTTCCGGATACGACGTAATCTGAAATAATTAGTGAAATGAAATTGGATCTACAGTCTATTCGACTTTCATAAGGTCGTAAATAAAGCATGTGATTTCAAACATAAAACGATTGGGATAATTTTACTCATACACAAATAAAACTTACTTTATTATTCTTATCAACCATGATGAGGTGATATATATGTGTTTGCGCATTCGCGTATGGAAGAATTTCAACACGTTTGATGGAAGTCGGAAAGTTTTTTCTTTCAATTAAGGATCCTGTTATGGGATTAAAAGATATCAAAGCTACATATCCTGACCTCTGAAACATAACAGATCATCTGCAGGAACAAATCCTTCTGTTCAATTGAAAAAATGGTTCCTTACGTTATTATTCCACTTAACTGAATAAAGAACTTTTGAACCATTATACCGTTGATAAACTCGAACCTTATCACTAGCAACAACAGTAGCTTGTGGAGAAAAATGATAGTGGGCTGTAGTACGCTGTATGAAGAGAGGGATTTTTTCATTTCCCAAAGAGCCAAATAATGGCTTAATATTTTTCCCCAGATAAAAGTACCACAAAATTGTTCCATCACTGCTATCAATACCTGCAAGGAAGATATCTCTACTAGTAAATAAGGAGGTAATGAATGAAGATAATAAGGAAGTAATAAGTGATCAGTTTTTCGTTTTTGTTCTTTGTAATGATTAAAACTGCCATTTCATAACAACTATAATCAAGACCCACCGTAAACAATAGATTTCAACGTTGAAACAACAATAATCTTTCGTAGATTAAAATAGTCCCGTTCAGACGGCACACTTTTTCTACGCGTCCTTTTACTAGAAAATCGGAAAGAAGTTATCCAGTCAGCAAATGATTTCGAATAGAATGGTAAAAAATTCGATGAAAAAATCTGATTTGTCACACTAATACAAGCACGACGAAATTGCTCCATTTGACTCCTTAGACGCCTCATTAACGATTCCATTATGGTATCTGTAATAGACAAGTGAAATTTAGACTGTGAAATGACTTCGAAATTTCCATCGGCACTGTTTGGCCAACATCTGATGAAGGATACTTCAGTATGAGAATAAACTTCATTTAAAAAATCAAATCTTCATACCGAAGAATTTTACGTCTCAATAGGATGCGGCGCAGTTTCAAGATAATTTCATTTTCTTTTTTATTTCATATAAAGATAAAGACAACAAGCTGCCACTGGAAAGTCGGATTTGTAATCAAGCAAATTAATTTACAAAACTAATCAAGCAAACTAAAGTGCTGGAATTCAAAAAAATCTTCGGTATGAAGATTTCCAAAATATTTTAAAAAATTTTGATGAAAACCTGCAAGGGAAAAATGAAAACTAAAATGTTCACGTTAAACAAACCATCATCCGAAGCAAATTCCGATTCGATATCAGCTTGTGCTTCGGATAAAGGTAAATCAACCATTTCGACTGAAGTGATGGTACTTAGTGCTTCATGTCTGATCCATTCTCTTGCAAGTTTGTTTGACGAGCCAACCAGATAAACAAATCTACAGTCTTCCAGAACAATGGCAAATTCAAATTCTTTTGATATCTCGATAAAAGAAAAGAGTTTTATGGGGGCTGGATCTTTTTCTGGAATTGTTCCCGTGAACAGCTGCTCTCCATTCACAGCATCATAAACGATGATGTTATTCGTTGATGTCGCAACAGCCAAAAGGTTTTGTCCATTAGTTGCCACATGTGAGGAAACTGCTTCAATCTGAAAACGACAGTGAATTTTACCAAAATTTATGATGATTGAAAAGCCAGTTGTGCATTTGATAAACTTTTTGTCACCTCATAAAATAAGCTTAAAACATTTACCTTCTCTAGTTTTAAAAGCAACAGTGGTGATTCTGATAAACCAACACGATAAACATAGGTATTCGTGAGAGTACATACAACCATTACTTCTCCTACATTTAAATTAGGAATTCGAACTATCGACTGAAGTAAAGTTTGGTGCACAGTGAGCGGATCCAATGATAAATCGACAACATAAAAGCCTTTGTTATCAAAACATTGCAACAACGTATCAGACAAAATGCATCTAAAAAAAATTTTTTTGTCACGACTTAAATGACCTATGAATTCATTCGCAATAACTTTTTAGCTGAGAAAAACTTGACCATACGAAAAAGCTTTTCATTACGTAGACAGGTACACTATTAAAGTACCTACTTTTTCACCAGATTATGGTGATATCGATTATCGATATTTCTAAAATGCTTCTTATTCCATTCCAACCCAATTTTCAACAACTCAATGAGCCTTTAATAACAGGAAAGATTTTTTTTAACATGTATTTCACTTTTTCGGATTGAACCAGTTTGCACTAAGGTTCCGAATTTTTATGACTGCACCATTCGTTACATCAATCTGAATAAGTGCTAATTCTGCTCCTTCAACACCTCCAACCACAGTAATTGTTTGTGATCCTGGTACTGAACCAACGCAGCTCCTGAAGTACCAAAATTATTTTAGTATCTATGATTTAAAAAGTATTCGAAAGCTAATGAAAAATTAATATCTAATCTAATATAGACATAAAGAGAATATCGGAACGAGTTTAAATACACTCTCTGACTAAGAAATATTTATTCGAAACCTGATATGCCGAAATTTTTAACGAAACGACTCCGGATCTAACAAGTGAAACAAAGTCGAAATTAAACTTCAGTACTTACTCTATGTTCCCTAAATTCGTTGCCCACTTAAGTTGACCATTGCCGAGAGAAAGTGCGGTTATATGAGCGCCTCTCAAGACAAACACGTTATCATTTGATATTAATGTTTCCGTTTTCTTCCAGCTGTGAAAAATTTTTGTTGGTAATAGACAGACGAGTTCACGCAGGCTATTTTTCTCTTATATTTCATTCTTTATATACTATATATATATATATA